TCATATGTACAAAAGACTTATGTTGTGTTTTTAGCACCTAGATGAAACATTCAAAACTGATCTTTTCTGTTAATTCACTCCAAAATAAAAAGCCTAGTAGCTGGCAATAATAAAGTTACAGGAAAAGAATCAGAGAAAAAAAGTCACAAATAATAATTGATATAACAGGTGTAGGAATTGCAAAATCCATTCAGGTATGGAATCCTCCATACTTGCCTGTCACCCCCTACAAAAATGTAGCAAGTTGAAACAAATTCTTTTTTCCCCACACAACTGTCTGGAGCCTATTTGAAAAGACTAAAAATCTATAAAAAGAATCACTCGACTTAATTCAAGTCAGACACTGAGTTTCGAGAGATGCCAGCAGACTCCACACATGCCAGCATACTGACTCAATAACGCGACCAGCCTCTCATCAACTCAACACAACTTGCACTACTATTGCCGCTTGAAGAAGCATAACTTACAATTTACTAAAAACGTGACATTATCACTACAAAATAGTAATTGTACATTTAATCAACTTTAGCATATTAGTCAAAGGCACACAACACTTCATAACTTGAATCAACACTTACAATTGTCACACACATACACACTATTATTATTCCCAAATGAGCAGCCAAAATAAGATACATAAAGAAACTACTGGAAGACCCAATGCTCACTTACAAAGAGCTATAGGGGAAGCCTGTTGCCTAGTGAGTTTTCTTATGTAGGGCCTTGTGTCAGACCACCAGACTTTCACATATAAGTGTATTTGATATTCCTTGAGAATATCAATGGTTCATGACAAGGTTAGCAACAGGAGAGAATGGACAAACACGAATGAGGTATGAGAGGCATAACAAAATATAAGTTTATTTTAACAACAAATTGACAGAAATGGAGAAAGGAAAGAATGCAGTGTCGAGTTCTTGGTTTCTGGATAGTGGTCCAGCAAATCCGTGCAACATGAGCTTGATGTTGACAGTTGAACATTGTTGCGCGCCCAAAATAGTAATGGTTAGCACCAAATGTTCTTGAAGAGGAAGTAGCCAAAAACGTGGAAAAGGTTAATTGTAAGAATATCCATTTTTTGAATAAACGGTACAAGGGAGGCAACTTTGTCTATGAATGTTTTCTTTTGGTAAAAGAAGAATGAAAGGAGTCTTAGAAATACAATTAACCCGGTCGATTATGAGGCCCTGACATGAGTTTGACCAAGATAGAATCACCGAGTTTATGAGTTGCAAGAAAATGTTTATCAAATATAGACCAGAGGAAAACATCCAGGAGATACAAATACCATGTGTGAAGACTCATGGGTTCCTGACTTACTTGTTGCTTGAACAGGAGGTAAGGTCCATTTGATACTGAGGGCTCATGATGAATGCTTGTTGCTTCGGACAGAAGGTAAGGTCAGAAAGTTGGGCAAAGATTGAGTCAAGGATAATGAAGTGTAGCTTCGGCAAAAAATTGACTATAAAAGTCTATTACCAAAGTCTAGTGTTTGAAGCGTATGGTGAAGAGGGAGAGACAGGAAACACGTCTTCCCGACTCGATGCCCACAGGTTGTCTCTTGCACATGGATACTTTTTGGCAGGGATCCGATAAGTCACGTGACCTTTGATTGGGGGCAAATGTCAACTGTTTAACCACTTTCAATGGGTGTTCATTCCAAAACGGTCACATGCCTTAACGTTGAAAGTGTTGGGTTGTTTCTCAAAGGGTAGCAATGGTGATGAAGGATAGAGAAAGAGAAAAAGTTCAAGGCAACCATTGACGGAAGGAGTGGGTGTGCCGAAAGAGCTGCATTTCATCTGATGGCTATCATATTACAATGCTCTTCAGGCTGTGCATAAGACAATTGATAGTCTGCTGACATACTTCACTGAAGTGTCTCAGGATTTCAGCAAAGGACCAAAGTTAAATACCCTAAAAAAAAAAAAAAAAAGATTGCAACAGAAGTGCATTAGTATCACAGTTTTCATGATGGATGTCATGACCCTGGTTACAATCTTATCCCAGTTCCTGCAAACAGAAAATGTGGATTTAATAAGCATTGCATTTATTAATAACTTTATAAATAACATACACTCCAGGTTTTCAAACACCTGTTTTGTGCATTTGATGTGTTAAGTCTCCATCTCATCTGCTTCATGAGTGAGGAAGAGCTGAAGGTCTATAGAAAGAAAGAGTTGGAAATTCTAATTTCCCACTATGGACATCAGCAAACCCACAAATGGATTGAGGATGGAGAATATTGCCAGATGACTATACAGACTGGAGAGGGACCTACTGAAGACAGTTGTCAAAGCACAGCACTACCTCAGAGACAACATATGGAAACTTTGGGCATTGGTAACAAAATATTACCTAAAAGACTTACCTAACCTCAACATTCTTGCTCAACTGGCCACCACCTTGGCTATACATACAGCTGGCTATGAACAAGGATTTTCTGCTCAGAACCTCATCCTCACCCCTCACCAGAACAGGCTGTCATTGGAACATCAAGAGCAGCTTCTTAGGGTCAACATGGGACCCAAAAGGTCAGGACTCCCTTTTCAAGAGGCAAAAGCCAAATGGAAAGGGATAAAGCAGAGAAAGCTGTACCCTTTGGATTACAAGTAATCATTGACAAATTCTCTTCACATTAATCTGCTCAGAATACACCACAAACATATCTACATCATTTGATATTTCTCAACATACTTTCCACTGTTTTTGTTAAGTTTCATTGTTGTGCTAAATGTTTCTTAGTGATTGACTTGGTTAATTTTCTCAACAATTAAAATCAAATTTGATTTAATTGATTATTATCAGATTCAAGGGAGATTACTTACAGTTTTTAGAGGAAAGTTCACCTAATCTAATTTGTTTTTTAATAAGAATCAACACAGCCAATTTATTAATGTAATTTAAAAAAACAAAACAACTTCTTCTGTTATAATTCTCAATAAAAAATGTAATTTCTTAATTGAACTGTGATTAAGTGTTAAATACTGTTTTTGTTATAAATTTGTTATTTAATTAAAAATAAAAAAATGTTCTGGCAATTTAAAAACAAAACAATTTGTTGTGTCATAATTCTCAAAAAATAAAGTTTCTTAATTGAAGTGCGAGTAAGTGTAAATACTGCTTTGTTTTAAATGTAAGAATTTAATTTAGGAAAAAAAAACTTTTGTTCTGTCAATTTAAGTGATTCAAAATGATTAAAATTGTTTTTTGGGGATGATGATAAAAGAAAAACTTAGTCTGGAGCCCTGCAGTTTAACACTACAACTTATTAAGAAACTATAGTTTGGACAGATAGAATTTCCTGGGGAACCATAGAATTTTTTTGGGCCCATTCAAATCAAATCTGTGTATCCCGGGATTCATTAAATTAAAAAGCTATCAGCATCACTGAATATGCAAATTAGTTAAATCTGAAAAGTCATATCGCTTAAAAATAGATAATATATAACACAGGTATTGAGCTTTTAGTGTGTAAATTACTATCAGGATCTGGTTGTTTTCTTTAAGCATCAGCTTAGGGTAAAAATCAGATCTGATAGAAAGCGTTTAATTTCGACAGACTTCAATAAAAGTTGGGTGACTGAGGTGAGGCTTGTTCGTGTGTACATGGTTAGCCTTGATTTTCTCTTTTAAGTGCCCTTGATGTAATGGACAGTTTCCTGTGAACCCTTCCCTGGTTAAGTTAGACACTATTTTATTTTCCTAGTTAATGTGAGTAAGTGTTGTTCCTGGAATTCTCTTTTCTTATGGCCCATGTTGAGATTCTCAACCTCCCCAGTTTGTTTTTGTCTACCATTTTTCATCTGGACAGGGTCAGCCTTTGATTTTCCCATTCCATCATTCATTTTTCACCTCCCACACTCTATTAGTGAGTGTGCTTCTTGATTATGTCTATCGGCAGAATACAGCGGCCACTCTTCTAACATTGAGAAGTGGACGGCTCCTACAAACATTGTTTTATTTTAGTTTTGTCTTTGTGTTGTATTTTTAGCTTGTTTTCTGGGTTCATCTTCCCTTTCCTATCATTTCATGAATCATGAAATTTTTATATATTTTTGTAAAAAACAAACTTAGCCTTTCAAATTTTTATATCATGGGGTATTTTGTAGGTCCTCTGTGAATATGTGGTATTGTAGTATATGAAGGATTGAGTGGTGATGGATGTGTTCTTGTGGTGGATGAGTAATTGTATTGAATGAATAGGTCTTGAGTTGAATTAACTATGACTAAGATAGCTAATAAAGACCAGTCCCTCCCCATTTCCCCCTCGGCCTTGTGCCACAATTCTGCATTGTTCAGAATAAATCTCAAATTACTATAAAGTAGAGTTGGGCTTTTTTAACTCCAGTATTTGTGGGAGAATTGATCTCCAATTTCATATTTATTCACATAGATAGATTTTCCATATTTTTATTACTTTAAATGTTATCTATGCAAATATAGGTATCCACTAAAAATAACATTTCTTGAATGTTCAGACTGGTAGACTAAATAAAATAATATATATATATATATATATATATATATATATATATATATATATATATATATATACATACATACATACATTACTTACACAACAAATAATATGCAGGAAATAAAAAGCTCTTTGCTTTCTTTTTAAATCAAAGTGTTTCTTATGAATTAATTTTTTTATCACAATCATCACCAACCTATTGTCCAAAATGGAATTGTTTGTATCTGTATTACCATGTTTTAAACATAAGTCAAATAAGTTGGCAAGTTTATAAATCTAAAGCTTACTAAAGTTATTGAAAGAATATTTAACTCCAATGAAATTTTGGATGCCTTTTATAAAATTTCAGATGTAAGCAGACACTTGAATATACAACACTCTACAACTTAGCAAAGACACTGGTTGTTATTATTTACTAATTACATTGCTTTTTATTATTTCATTTGAAATCCTATATTAATAGTTTAGTCATTAATCATTTTATGATTTGTTTTTAATTGAATGTTTTATAATTTTCCAGGACACTTGGCGAATTCGAGCCAGATTGGTACGTGGCGTCTCATCCAGTCTGTAAATGGTTTATTCAATAAAAAACAATGTACTGATAAAAAAATATGCAACAATAATTCACATAGGTTTCTGTGTTGATGAACAGAACCTAAATTTGAAAATAAAATAAAATAAGAAGACCAATATATATATATGTGAGAAAAATATAGTTTTAAGATATGCTATATTTATGGGTTAAAGTGCTCAATATCAAGGATAGATCATATGTAAATATAAAAGTGGACATTGAAGTCAACATACAGCATGCCTAAATGCTATATTTAGTTTTGTCTAGGCCTGATGAGTGTGTTTCAGCATGAAAAAGACTGTTACTGCTGGATGCTGACTTCTATGTCCACTTTTATATTTACATATGCTCTATCCCTGATATTGAGCACCTTAACCCATAAACATAGCACACCTTAATACTATATTTTTATCATATATATATATATATATATATCAGATTCTCTCTTAAAGTAACTATCAGTATTTTCAATGATAATACCAAATTGTAAGAATATTTAAAAGCTATATTTTTCAAATATATACATTAACATGTACAATATATAAATACTCTCTAAAGTGCATTAATTTTAGATATAAGGTTAAAAACTTAGTGAGAGCATTTTAATGCTATTTTGTCCATGTGAAAATATGTATGAGTCAATGAATAGAAGTATAGACAAGTATTTTTGTTTTTCATGAAAATTTTTTAAATCTAAATTTAAAAGCCAAATTTTATATTTTAAAGCCAGTTTTTATACTCTTGTGATCTTATATAAATATTTTTTCATCTTTATAAATGAAGTGAAAAAAGTATGGTGCCTATTTTTCATCCTTGGAATTTCTTTTCTAATGTAATGATTTCATAAAATTATCAAACAAAATACCTCTTTGTTGAATTAAGCTCTGGCAGATTTCTGTGTCACTGAGCATCAGCTATGTTTTGTAAAATTAGTACACTTATTTCTCAACAAAAACCGTCAAACACTATATGCATATTATTGTAATTAATTAGATTTAAATCTGTCTTCAGTGTGGATTACCTTAAAGTGACACTGACAGACTGTGGTTACAGGATAATTTTTTATTCTTGGATAATGCAGGAGAATTACTCTTGCAGACACATATATCAACAAAAAATACCAAAACAAATACTGTAAAGAGAAGCCACTGTAGTAAAATCAAAAATTATTCTAGCAATATATACAGAAATCTTTTACCATAAATTTTATCTCATAATTTTCACTGAATTCTAGGTACATTTCTTACTACAAATTGAAAATAGAATTTTCAGTTGCATTTTGTTTATATGTTGAGTATAGCTGTAAACTATAAGATTTTTCTATGACCTTTCTCAGAAAATAGATTGTAAGATATAATAGTTATTCATTAAAAACTTATTGTTCTCTATTTTCAAAAGAGAAATATATAGAAAACTATTGCATTACATTACAGAAAAAACAAGCATGTTTTAAAAGTGTGTAGTTTTTTTAGAAGTTTTTCAATGAAAAATGAAGAATAATATTAATTGTGATAAAATAATGATTTTAAATGTATAAAATCTTAACATTGAGAGTATATTTGAGTGACAGAGAAAATAAATTTTTCTAAAATAACTTTTATGTCACAAAAAACATTCTTAATTATTCTTGCCTTATATATACTTTTTTTCCATACAATTTATTTCCTTCAATTTAATCCAAGACACTTAAAGAAATAATCTTCAAATTCTTTTCCAATATCTAAAATAACACAGTAAACTTATTGTTTAAAAACAAATCAATTTTCTTATCAAACTGTTCTTTCTACTCTATCAGAAAAAAAATAAAGTCTAGCCATATTTTTGGCATTTATAATTTTTTAAATAAAATTGTACAATTTGGTTTTGTCAGACCATGAGTGGGAAAAGAAGAAAATAAACTGAAAAACAACAAACTTGCTACAAAATATACAAGTTTAAATTACAAATACGTATTACAAGTGCAACCAAAGAAAGAGAAAAATAAGGGTGTAATGTAGGAGAAGAAAAGAATTATTTCAATTTGTTTATAAATATTTTTGTAATGGGCACAGATCGAAGCGAATCTTATACCAGATTGCCTTAGCACAGATATAATGTTTAAAGAACCAGCAAATGAATGAATATCATCAAAAGTAATATTGGGTTCATTTGGTGGCTGAAGAAATGACATGTTTCCAACCAACATTAGTAGTAACTGTCTGAACTTAAATAAATGTCAGAATTTCCAGTGTCTATTTCCAAAACAGGCAAGCTCTCACCTGTTTGTAAATTGATAAAAACACCTTTCCTTTTCACATGGGTTTACGTGTCTGAATAAAGTTATTAAATATAATAAAAATGAGCTTAAATAACTGTGTAGATGAGAAATTGTTAGCACAAAAACACTAATTGTTGAATTAAAGAAAAAATTAAGGTTGATCCTAAACAACATGAGCACTTTTGCTCACCTTGAGATTTTGTCTGATTTCTCCATCTTGTTTATCATTTGTTATTTTATAACACTTGTCCTGTTTCTAATCTTGCTTTTTTCTCTTATTACAGTAATAATTTGTTATCATTCTTCAAAACTTTTATTTTAGGCATGTTTCCCTTTTTGTTTTTCCTTGCAACACATAATTTTATTTTCATTCAATATGTTCTTTATCATAATCAAAATTACAGAATATTATGCATAATCCTACTTATTATTATAAATAATTCTTCTAAAATAGCAGATTTATCTTTTTTGATTTTCTTATATTCTTTTAATTTTTATCTATTATGAATAAATTTATCAAGAATTAAAAACAATGCTTTATTTCTTTTGTGAATGAAGAAAATTATATTTCAACTTTTTTTCTTATGAGAGTAAAGTGGAAATATGTAAAAAAAACTGGTCTGAATAGTAAAATTTTGCAATTTTTAATGAAATCTTATTGATTTTCTTGGATTAGGATTGTGGGATTTATATCTATAGGCCAGGAGAAAAAATATAGGCTTGAGTCATAACTTCTAATCACTTAGCTATATTCAAAAGCAATACCAAAGAATGCTAAGAAGGATTGTTACAAGCAATTCCATTTATATTCCAGTTACATTTCAGATATTGAATTTTATGAGTACTCTTATAAATACAAGCAAAGGTTTTTTTTCTTGTCTTGGTTTAAAGCCAGAAGTTTCTTTTGCTAAAGTTCAAAATGATTATGAAAACTAAACTACCTGTGTAACATATACATTGTAAATTGTTCATCAAATCTGATGCTGGTCTTTTCTTCACTGATGAATTACATCACCAAAGTATCTTATTAATAAAATATGGAGGAGAACATTGACAAATTGAAGAGGCTTTGTTGAATCAGAGTGTTTTTGTTGTCATCTGTTCCCAGTAGCTGAGTGAGGCTCTCCAGTGTCATCATTTTTCTTGTTCAGCCACTTGATCATCTGTGCAGATGCTGTAGTTGTATTGACGGCATAAATCAACCCACACATTTTTTTACTTTACGAATGTGTAAGAAAACAAAAAGAAAACAAGAGAAAGGACACAAGAAAATAACTTTTCATAACAGATACAATATTTATATTTAAAAATGACAACAGTTTTACAATAACTATTAATATGAGTTACTTCCCTTTGACTGGGCTAAAGTTTTTCTACTAAAATATTTTTTTACCTTAGCTCACAAAAACTGAATTATCTTGTCATTCAAAATGTTCACTGAAAGAGAGTTTAAAGAATCTTTAAAGCTGAAAATATGTTGATAAACTTTTAGCTTTAAAGAAGTTGGAGAAGTGAATGTTCCGTTTGTTTTCGTTGCTCGTAGTTGAATGTATTGTTCGTAATTGTTTGTACTTAAGTTTATATTCAATAACGTAATTGAATAGTTTTTAGTAAGTTGCAGAAGTTGGTGAGTGAGTTGTTTCATTGAAATTGTAGCTTGAATTTCAGTGAAGTTATTTCATGTTAAAGAACTTGAGATTCTAACTTTGTACTTCACTGCAGTAATGATACAAGTGTCGTGAACTCGTTTAGCAAATGCTAGTCGTCGTAAATTCTCATTATTTATTGTACTATGTACAAATGTGGCACAAGGCCGAAAAGGGGGCTGGGGAAAAGGACGGTCATCACATGTCTTAAAATAAAACTTAGCTAGCCACAATCACTGACCCTATCATACTAAAACAATATTCCTATCACCAAAACAACACATTTATCCATACCTTTCTTACTACATCCACCAAAATGCCTCTTTTCAGACTCAATGAAAAAAAAGTCATTTTTATCCGAGAGTTAATTTCCACTTGACTATAAAGCTAATGTTTTTACTTTAATTTAAAAGTAAATACAAATAAGTCGATTCAAAATTCACTGAAGTTAAATACCCCTTATGTACAAATATTGTCTGTGGGGAGGGGCGCATAAAAAAAACAACTTTTTTTAAAGAAAATCCCCAATGAGTATATACAATATGTCGAAATATATTTACAAGAAACTAAACAAAATTAGTGTTAGTATTAAAACCCCCACAAACTTTGAATGTGGCAGAAATATCAGTTAACCGGACGAAATCGATGCGAGACTATAAAAATAAGGACACATTCAAAAACCGTCAAGCACTCACACAAGCACTCACTCATCCATACACAACAACAAATACGAAAGCACACGCACGAAACGAAAGGCGCCCCGCATCCACCAGAGAACTGACATCACTGACCACCTAAACGAGGGAAGGGACGGGGAGTTAAACTAAAGGAAAAAAAAGGGGACAGAAATAAAAGGGGACCAATGAGCAAACACACCCTAGCTAAGTTTATCAGAACAGGAAAGAAAAACTAAACGAAAAAATATAAAAATCCTACTCTAACCTAAACCTTTTTTTGGGAAGGGTTGCCCATGTTCAACCCAGGAAAACAATATCCTGATGCCTAACCGACATCAAAATGCCACTCCAAGTCAGCCCCTTTTACACGGCACAAACGCGCAAGATTCACCCACCTTTTGCTGAATTCTGAT